AAGCATGCAAATTATCAAACAAAATATAAAAAGGAAAATCCAAGTTATTTAACACTCTTTTCTCCAACACTCTCACTCTTTTCTCCTTTAACCTCATGCAAAATTGCTACCACACCAAGCCAAATCTGTATACATTTCTGTGCTACAAACCTGTTTCTAAGTTCAAAAATATTTGACCCTGAGATGCCTTAACATAAAGCCTCCCTAAGAAGTTCTAATTGTGCTTGGAGTTCACAGTTGTGGGTAAGCCACTTCTCATTAAACTTTCCAGAACTCCAGGAACCCTTTGACATGCATTTTTAAATGTAAATATAAACATTGACTAGCTTGTGAAACTTTGTTTCATTCTCCTCCAGAGGAGAAACAGGATCAACCACAAAAGGAAGCAGCCATTTGTTTTTTTCTGGTATGGTATAAGTTTAATCACACACAAACTAGTAGAATCTACTTTAATTAACCAGTTTGTGACTTTGGTTCTTTCACTCAGTAAAGAAACATCAGGACTTCGCTGTTAATGACACACCTTTAGATAACACGGGAGAGGCAAGAGGGAACAGTGACCAAAAAGCCCAGGAAAGCGTTGAGCATTTTGTATTGAAAGACAAGAAATACAAACAAGCCATTGATAGCAGTAAAGATCCCAGGGAGAGGAGGATGGATATCAATCAGCCTTCTTGTGTTTTATTCATTTAAGTAAGAGAGTCTTACCCCCGACCAGTTTTTGCCATGACCAATATAACCAGACAACAGGCATTGCATGTATCCACTTTCAGATTGCCACGTCAATTATTATTTCAGCTCTGACACACTGACCACCAACCCCAGCACTCAAAGTTGGAACTTCCTGGTCTGCAACCAGACAAAACAGATGCTCTAAGGCAGAGATATTCAATCTGTGCCTACCTGGAAAATTCATCTTATCTGCAATCTACTCCTACCAGCTTTTTACCACTAAGATGCTGCCTGTTGAGATACATGATGACAACGTGATATTGAGTGTAACGAATTTATGGCAAAGGTCCAGCCACATTATCAGTCCTTCCTGCCTTCAGAAGAAGCTACACGCTCAATGCTGGATCTATTTCCAAACTGAGTATCTGGAGTAAATGCCGATTCATAGCATGAACTTTCATCAAATATTAACTAACCTCTAATGAAAAGACTTAGTAAGTAGAAAAGCACAGCTTTTAAGCCTATTAGCTAAATTTAACAGACACCTGTAACAGCACAGAAAAGTGTATGTTGTGAAGCTCTAACATGGAATTATTGTTCTGCTATCTGGTGGACCAGGCAGATTATTGGTGAGAACTACTAATCACCTGTCAAAACTTCCAGATCCATCCTGCACCAAGAGCTCCGAGATAATCTGCGAAGTACAGTGTGTACCAGGAAGCAATACAGACACAATACGGTGGACAAGAGGCTACAGAATCGTCATGTTTTGTTCAGACTGTTAGCTTTCTACATTAGGACAGTCCAGTCTTACCAACCATAGAGCCCACGCTGTTTTGCAAGAGTCTCCTCACGCATCACCCTAAGCTTGCTGCCTGCTTTCTAAGTGAACATCCAGAGAAAGCGGAGAAGTCACTTGTCTTTGGGGAGGAAGAAAACGGTGGGTCAGATGGAATTGTGCTTCAGGCTGAATGTAACACTTCACAGGCTGTGAGACTAAACTAATCTAAAGTAGTGATTTAACAGACATGGATATGAACTCAGCTGTGTCACTTACAGTCAGCAGCAATCCTTAAAAACTACTTGTATAAATATTTGTGTAATTAAACCAACTTTAACACCGTTCAGTCATTTTCACTTATACAGCACAGTAAAATTTCCAGCCTACAAGCAGGGCTACATGATCAAACTTCAGTCACATTTCAAGCACAGTTCAGACCTGGATATCCTGTAAGATTAGTTTTAATCTACATTCTTCCACTTACTCCAACAGTCAGTTGTTTTAATCTGTTTGTTCACTTTCCTTCTGTACCCATCACTGCACTCTGTGCTTACTGAACAATTAAACTTACACGTATGTGTGTTCTGGTAGACTTGCTTTATGGCCAATAATAAAAAAAAAGACAAAAAAAAAAGGAATTTTAAGGCTTATATTAATATACCTATAAAGGGCTGTTTTAATCATTCATCATTTATACAGAAGATACCCTTAAACAAGCAAATATTAATCTTTCAGAAAGCAGTTTTCTCATTATTGTGGACTCTTTGTACTCTCTTACTCCCCCCCCACCCTCTGGGGTATATATTCTGAAATTTCACGCATAGCATAAAGTATCTTTGGAATGTTACAGTATAATTGTTTAGAGAAACATTTAATGGATGAGTAAGCATCAAGAGGCCATTGCTAAGGGAAAAGAAAAGTTAAAATGCTAGAAGCATTTTGTATTGAATGATCTTCTCAGCACGGGGACAGGGGATGGACATTTGATCCAAAAATCTGGTATTGACTCAAGTGATATAAAACCAGCAGCCAGCACCGAGGCATACAAAGCCATCCAACCACCTAAAAAAACATCTGCTGCCACCCACCTCTTTCAAACTGGACCTCAGTCACTGTCTAGTAAAGCAATCAAATGCTATAGAATATTATTTGATTAATAACATGAATACTATGATAGGGGATTACACAATCTTGACAGTTGGCTATTTTTTTTTAACTGGTTGCTTGGTTTCCAATTTACAGCACGAGTAATTTGCATGTGCACGATGCAGAAATGCAATAGAAGTAACTGGAAAAAAAGCTAGGCACTGAGTACAGAGACAGCTAAAAAAAGCTGAACATTCTTTCACTACAGGAAACTGCTGGAGACAATATGCTGTAAATTAAAGCCAATTTTCCTGAATTCCCTGAAGGACTGCTCCTCCCCAAGATTCTAGAAATCCATTAGCAAAGGCCCATCATTATAGTTTTCTTGGGGCTTATTTACTGAAGAGAGTTTAAAAAAGCACGTCCAAAATGAAATCTATGGTGTATCAGACGCAGGGGAGTGGGACAAATCAGGCCTAACCTTACATAATTGATTTATATCCTGATTATCAGAGAACAGCTGAGATGCGTTTTACTCACGACGACTCCTCCTACCCATACATTCGTAAATCAAGGAAAACCAAAATAATTAACTCCCTACCTGAATTTCTAGTTAGAAGAACAGATTCCGAGCCAGGAGAGGTGCCATATGCTGACATGCATTGCTCTGGAAATCAAGCCCTTCCTTTTTGCACCAGAGTCAAAGAAGCCACGCTTCCTACAGACTCGTGTCACAGCAGAAGCTTGGGTCCCTAAAATCTCTGTCCAAGTGGATTGTGTGGGGCTCAACAACGTAGGAATTGCAGCTGGTACAGCACAATCTGTCCTAGCTTCATACATCCACAGAATTTTCAGAAACCTAGTGTCTTTGAGGAACTTCCATTTCTATGTTAAATTTAGTAGAGAACAGGTAACAAACTAAAAAAATTCATCAGGAACTCACAAATAGTGTGACTCTATAAACCTCATCTTATTAATAAACTCAGGGAGAAGTAGCAAAACTTCTGCTACGCAGCCTTCTAGTTCCAAACCCAATATAATTTCCAAAATTCCTCATCTATTTGTAAAATATGTGAATCTAAATCATATGGAAAAATAATGGATTGCACATGCTGCTTGATTAAGGCTTTAAGAGATATTTGTAGGCACATAAGATTGTAAGGGACTTCCCAGGTCGCTGTATTTGCATCCCACTATCAGAAAGGCTCTATTAAATGATCTCTTCTAGAAGACATACCCTCCCTTAAATAATCTCAGAATTAGGATATTTCTTTTAATTTCCAGTTTAATTCATTGAAGACCTCATCTAGTGGACACTTAGATGAAATACTTCAGATAGGAAAACCTTGAGCATGTAAAAACTTGCCTTACACTTTCTCTTCTCTTCACCGACCCAGTGATCCAGATGCTACTGTCAGATAAATCCACTGGTTTAAATCTGTAACTTTTTTTCTAATGTCGTACTCACAGGCAAATCCAAATATTCCATGGGTAACTTTTTCTGTAACTACTTTCACTCGGTGAATTACAGTGAACTGCAATAACAGTGCTGATTTTAAAACAAGGCCTATAGATTACTTCGTGTATTACAATGACCATAGCAGAGCCTCTAAGTGTGTCTTTTGGGGTTCAGGTAATGGGGAAGACAACACAGCTAACAGTGAAGTCTAACACAAGGGTATGCTAATCTTTTCAGCCACTTAAATCCAGGAAAATCAAAAGCAAATGTCATCCTACCATAGCATCACAAAACCCAACCCCAAATACTTGCATCTTGATGTCTGCTGGGATGTTTTCTGCTAACCATCCATTAGATTTCATGTAATATTCAGTACACACATTCCTCCACAAGCTGGATTGATTTCTTCCACAGTTTAACTTGTTTTTGCCAAAGTCTCTTAGTTCAGCACTGGCTGCCTGCCTAACAAAACAACCTTTCTTTATGCCAAAACTGTCATCTTCAGTTGCACAAGACGCATCTTACTTACAAACATGTATAATGAGCCCAATGTTTAATGCTGAAGAACCGCTATTTTAAAATGGTCTCTGACAAAACTTAAATAGATACAGATGCAGTCAGTACCTAACCCTGGGGGAGAGGGAAATCAATCTTGAGAAAGTTTTTTATCCCTTTTGTATTTAAATACACCTTTTAAAAAGAAACCCCTAAATTAATTATTGGAACATGAAATCGTATGCACTTAACCACAGCCAGTGGTGAGAAACATAAGGCTCACTCTGAACCTGAAATCTTCATTCTTGCTCAGTGTGAAGTCATCATTACATAATGATCACACGCACCATAAACTTGTCTCTAATTGAAAAGACTACCCTTGAAACACAAGAATCCTATAACCTTAGTCAGTTATCAAGTGTCAGTAATGACTGAAAAAATCCATCTAAATAAATATCCTGCTCTGTTTTTCTGCTCTAATTTCAGTCACAGCTGAAAGAAGAATACCTGCGTAAGAAGTTGTTCTTCAGTCAGACTATTGATCCAACGAGTATACCGCGCAGTCGACTCCGGTGGCTCTCTTCTGACTTGGCAACCAATAATCTAAAGCAGAGACAAATCACAGTGTAAACTGCTGTACACCCACATGGCAACAGGATCATAAAGTAAGCATTCAAAACATGGGAACTCCAAGAATTAAGATTATCTATAAAGTCCTCACTAGTCCCTCTTCTATCTTCACAATATAATATGATATATTACAATACAATATAGTACAGTACAATGCAATGTCACGGTTGCTCTGCTCAAATGTGAAATAGCTACAGACTTTCAAAGGTCTCTAGAAAACTAACTCCGGGAAGCCTCTTTCCAATAGCTTCAGTCCTGGGAATATTTGAGACATTTTTGTTGAAATTTTCAAAGGGAAGTCATCTGAAGTCAGACATCTAGAATGAAAACTTCAACCAAAATAGCTCAAGTTTAGCAAATAAAAATTAGAACTTGGATAACAGCAGACAGTCATACCAACAGTGCCATCACCTATAATACCACGTTACTTATAATTCCTGTCAAATAAGGAAAACAAGAAAAACCACCCTGTACGGATTCATCTCATTCATGGTAGAACAACGCAGATACCCCATTCTGATTTCTTCACCAAAGCATTACATATGCATTCAAGCAACATTTTCTTCTCTAAAACTGTTCTGTAGCTGTACAGGTTAAATATGAATTTAAATATTCGGAACACCTACTGGCATCATAAATATGCATCTAGAATATTAGAGGCATTTTGTATTATCTGTAACTGCACAGTCACATATTGATGCAATTTGGTACAAACACTGAACTGTTTCCATATCTCTGGTTAGACAAGGAAGAAGCCAAGGAGAATCATAGGAGTGTGGCTATATAGAGCTCTGCTCTTTGCTACTCCCGATGGTCTGCAGTCCACCCTAAACCTTCAGGGTACTGAAGGGCTTAATTACATATGCAAAGTTTTACTTATGGCTGGCAGTGTTTTATACCAACTACTGCACTCCTGTCATACTCTGTCTAGTTCTTATCCAGATTTTGATGGTACTTTCTGCTGAGAATGTGTTCATTCACTGAGAGGTAACACCAAAGTGTAGGTATTGGGACTTCTGAACAGTAATTTCAGATACTCAAGTTCTGTCCAAGAACAATGAGGAAAACTTGCTTTACTTTCCACCCTAAGCATTGATAAGGTGTGTGTAAGAGCGCTGAGCACAGCAAGTTTAAACCTTTCAGGTATCTCTGCACAGCTTGAAACCCCACACAGATGTACATAGTCAGGCTAAAATTCTGCACGTGCAGTTACAAATACTTTTAATGTGGGATCAAAAACACCATGAAGAGATCTTGCTGGGATCCTGCTGGCAATGAAACATCACAGTTTAGAGTATGGTTTGACCAATTATCTGTACACACTCAAGGAGAGGTGAAGGCAGACAGAATAACTCTTAGTAAATTGGATCCTGATGGCTCTTTTCTGTATCATACATCACCTTTTGTAATTCCTAGAGTTTGACTTAGATTTATAGCCAAAATTTCCTCCTCTTTCCATATAGCCATATAGATAATTCCATTTCACACTCCAACTTACTTCTCTGAGTTTTGGCTTGTAACAATGATTTCACACTTACTGTACTTAGAATTCTTTGAGCCTTCTGGAACTGAAAACACCGTAATTAGGAAAAAAAATACTCATCAACTAAAAAAGTTATTTAGGAATTACTGTTACTGATGTAAATCCAGAACAGAAAAAACAATGGGGTGCATTGAACTTCAGGATCATTTGGAGTAGAATCCTTGGAAGAGTAACTTTCCAAACTCCTTCGCCAAATGACATGCCTACTAGCAAGACCGAGTGAGAGGATAACAATCTAGAGCCTTATATACAAACACACTAAGCAAATTAAAAACTAAGTTAAAAAAAAAAAATTGTACCTAGCAATTTCATTTTGTACCGCAAACCTCAACTGAATGTTTAGAACAATAGTGAAACCAGTCTAAAATATTAATCTAGAAAAATATATAAAGAAATACAGCAGAAAGTAATAGGATTGGTCTCTGACTTTTAAGAGTCAGATGTTACAGTAACTCAATATTTCAAGAATCAAGTTACATTTTTTTCCTAGTTCAGTGAAAACTCAGGACACTCATCAGGGTAACCCTTCTGCTGTTGCGACTCCAAGTCCCTTTGGCAGCACACTGAACACCTAAGAGTTCACAGCATCGCGACGAGGTGTAGTTTTACTAGAACCGATGGCGAAGGGGTTGACCAATAAGCGATCTCCAGAGCAATGGATTTCACTTCCATGACTAAAAAGGACACAGTTGACGACTCTTGGTCCTTGAGTTTTCAAAATATGAGAATATGAATTTTCAAATTTTCTGAGACTTCATGGTATCCTCATTTCTCTAAATGGTATTTAGTACAGAATACCTTCTCCCCCACACCTTTGGCTTGTCTTACTCTCTTCATGCTCTGAGTTCGAGAAGGCAGGCATTACTGATGAATGATATGGCTCCAGTGAAGTTTATATAAAGATGGGGTTTAGATTTCACTCTAGTTTCTTCTTCCTTACACTCTGAAGAGGATCATTAACGAGACAACAAAATATCAGAATACATACTTTGCTATCCTATGCTTGTTTCATATACAGATTTAAAGGAAGAGAGAGAGGAAAAGAGGAATTAATATACTTAAGTTTTTACTATATTGTCCTCCATAGCAGTGGCTTTAAGTGGCTTTTTCTTAACATTACCTAAATGTTCTATCTATACACACAACTTAAGTATTTATTTCCAGAAGGCTTTCTAATTATTCCTAAAATCTATTTGTTCACAAGCAAATTGAATTGCTGTCTTCACTCTTCCTCATCCAAAGAAACAAACCTACAACCACCACCTGAAAACTCCTTTCTTTAAAAGCAAAGGAACAAAAAAGCTATAGCTGGTGTTCTTAAAGGCCTTTTGTAAGATTTCCATGGATCTACCAAACCCATCAGCAGGGCACATAAAAGCAAGGATCTCCCTCCTGCAGAAGATGGTGTGGCAAAACATCATTTAACCACATACTTTAATTATAATGATAACACAGCAAAATACACTTTACATAATGCATGTTATTGAGAACAGCTGCAATTTGATGTTGCAACACAGCAGGAAAATAAGTACAAATGCATAACAAAGTTAGATTTTGTAAGAAGTGAAATGCACACTTCCCTCTAACATAAGTGTTTTGCACAGCACACAGACTTCCTGCTTTCTTTTCATTTTCAGAACCAATACCACTCGCGACTGCTTTTAGCATCATCTTGAGATATGTTTTATGGACGTTCAAGTTGTCACGACGCAATCAAATTTATTTCTAGCTCCTCAGCCAAAACCCTTCCACACTTTCCTGCTCTTTAGCGGTACCATTCCTCCCTCATGGCACTCTGACTCACGACAGGGATTCCTGACTTACACGGCTGCAAGACAAACATCACCAGTGTAAGTAACTCAACCCGAGCCTTTGATACAGCTTCTGTAAAACACAGCTCATTCAACCAGCTGCTTTCATCCAATCAAAATCAGGATTATTTAGAGTACAAACAGCTTCCTCTAGTTCCCCTGTGTAAGGTGTGGCATCAGAAGTAACTGCAGTTTCCCATTTCCTCCATGTCTCACAGAGCTTTTATATTCACTTCACTGAGTATTTCCTTAGAGCTTTTAAACTGAAGTCAAATATTTTTCACTGTTGCTTCTTTCATAAGTTCTAAAATACTTTGATAAAAATCTTTCTGGCCTATTTTACACTTATTCAGATTTCCAGAAGACAAGAAACTCCCTGTATCAGAAACATTCTTTTCAATATCTTGAGTATCCATTTCTATGCAAAAACGGAGTTCATCCAAGTTTTAACTTTTTGATATGATTAGGCAAGTTTATTTTTATATTACAAATGCAAACTGTATACTGGTATATACCTGTACCTGGATTAAAATAGGTAATAGATACAACAAATGCAACACACTTCATATTCCAACTGTAAACTTGCTGTAATGAGTATTGATATTACTTGTATAGGAAGCAGTAACATGAACTGTAAACAAAAATTTTTCTGGCTCACAGCAAAGGACTATGGCAGTTCATGGAAGAGGAAAACTGATCAGGAGAGAAAATCATGACAATCCTTTCTGCCACAACACGTGATGAGGCAATTCACTTTCTAGACAGACAATTTATTTATGTATTAAGTGTAACTTATAGCTTCTATAGCTATTTACTTAATTACCATCAGCACTGGTCTCTCAAGAAAGAAATACAAAAGAATGTATGGCAGCAAGAGACAGTGATGGGTAAGAACAGTAACAGCATAAAATAGTGGTCTGGTTTTATCCTAACTACCAACAAATACATATGCTGAAAAGCCACACAAGTACCTGAAAATGAGCTTATGTGGGAACAAGTGGCCAAATATAAGCACTTACGGCCCCCTGGTCCTGCCAGGCCTCCAGCGGCCACTTCACAGAACAACCAGGCGCCGAGTATCTGCCAGTCCTGTCTAGATGGTCTCAGACAGCCTAAGATGTCAACACAGCACTATAGGTCTGTGTTTAGGCACCTGAATCTCTCTTCCAGTAACTCTACCACTTCACATGATTAGGAGAGGAGTTAATGAATCGTAGCTAAAGAAGATGATCAAAGTCATGGAGATGTACTTTACACCACGACAATTAAAACATTTTTAGGAGTTAGAGCACTGTGAAACTAATACAGTGTAACCATTAGAACAGTACAAATAATAAAAAAATAACATAAAACCAGATAAATGAAACAGCCAGTGAAACAGACACTCAAGTTGGACACAGTGTACCGGGTTAGCCATGATGTATGAAATACAGATCTAACGAGCACATTCAACCACTTGTTGATCAATACAAAGCTCCGAGTTACAATCACGTTTGGAGGAACTAGGCAGGATTACCTACATTGCAAAACTACTCTGAGCACATGTAGTCACTGTTCCGTGAGTTACAAAATCATGCCAGAGTGTCGTACAAGAGTATTTCAGTCATATCTCTGCTATG